ACACATTTCTTCCCATTCAATAATATTTCAATAAAAACATATCTTCCTTCTGGATCAGAATCAATCAGTTTAGGCAAAAACTCTTTCCTAACATAAATAACTACCCCACCTCTTTTCTGAGGCATGGGTGCCATAAAATGTATTCCCAACCATGAATTAATCAAATATTTTTGATCCTTTGCTGTAATGTGAGTTTCTTGTAAACAAACAACATTATTTTTATGTTGCTTCAAATAAAAAAATATCTTTTTTCTTTTCTGTGGAGAATTCAAACCATTAACATTCCATGTCAAGAACCTTGCCATCTTTAATGGCAGCGAGCCTCTGGAACGCTCCTTGTAAATCAGCTGTTACTGATCTCTTCAGCCTTGCTCCTCCCACTGGCTCCGAGATAACTTGCTGTGCTATAGGTACCACATCCACTTTTTGTTGCTCTCTTTCTTTGCGTCTATGAGCTGCGTGGGTCATTCTTTGTGATTTCAGATCATCTTTAATTTCCATAAATTATTGCTTAACTTGATATTGATCATGTAGTTCTGTAATACTTGATGACAATATAGCTCCTTCAGCCACTTTATCTTCAAAGATTCTTTCCTTCCTGGTACCTTGTGGAGATGATGGTGAACCTGCTTTCAAGATTGAAATATAAAAGTCCCTTGCCTTTGCAATCGTGTTAAGCCTGTAACGTGTTTCCATGAAGTTCACCATTATACCAACAGGTATCTCCCATCTAAATTGAATTTGTCGCTTTTTCAACTCTTCAGCCAGGAAGGCGAAATCCTTCCTTCTTCTAAGTATTTTGGGTGGTATCTCCTTTAAAATTATAACATCTTGTCCTGAAATTTGAAATTTCTGCTTATAAAAAGCTTGAATAATTTCATTACGGATTGATTTTCTGGAAAAGTAGATAACAACATCTCTTGGAAGGTTTCTCTGTCTTGCAACCCATGAATTAACTCTAAAAAATTTTCCCATTTCTCTCATAATTTCTTCAGGTTGACAGGACAAAACCAAGGCCAAATCTGCTGCAATCTCTTCTTCCAATTTTTCTTGAGCATTTTCTTTCAATCCCCTTATTCTCAATGCATATTCCATTTCTCTATATGGTGACATAATGACCTCATTTTGAGTTAAATCCACATTCTCCTCCACTTTTCCCAATCTAAATTCCAAACTTTCAACATGTTTTTCCACTTCATCTACCCGTCCATCAATACGTTCTACATGAACTGCCAAGCCTTGCAATGCAAACAATATATCATCTCTCATCTCTGCATTTTTCTCCTCAAGTTTCTTTTCAAACAGCTCCTCCATCTCCGTTCTAATCTGTCTTGCATTGTCCTTCAAAGCATCCTGTAAATCTCTCAATGTAAGTGCTGGAATTGGGGAAGAAGGTGGGGGAGTCTTGGGTTTGGCTGCTGTGATGTTTGAACAGCTGGGGAGGAGAACATGCTCTTCTGAGGAACAAAAGTTCCCACACGTTTTGAGGCCATTTTACTTTTCTTTTTCTTCTCTTATACTTTTATTTATATAGTATAAAGTCTTATAAAAGCATCAAACAAAAGTGAAAGCAGAAAGCTTGCCCAACCAGTACAAAGTAACTAAGTCTGTTACAATAGAAAGTCCAGAAGAAAGTCTCCAAAAAGTGAAAGTCTCTTATATTTTCTATCAAAGAAAAAAACGCCCTTCCGCAGCCATATTCCTTCTTCTTCAAGTTAAAATAAAAAGTGAAGAGGGTTCTTATTTATTTCCAGAGTTCATTCAAATTCCAGTCCTCCTGGTTAGCTCTGTCTGCTTGTAAAATTTTACTCACAATCTCCTAGAACAGCAGAGGTTGAATCTGCATCTGGCTTCGTTCTGAGAACAAAGGCAGCCCAAGGCACGGAGAAGTCCCAGACTCCGGGGGAGCTCACCTTAGTCCTCACAGATGAAGAAATATGAGGGCTAGGGAGCTCTACCCCTATTGGGGAAGCTCACCCCCCCCTTTGCCCAGGGAAGGGGATTCCGAGCCACGGAACAGCTGTTACGCGCTGTTCCTGCAACTTTGACGTGTCCTCGGGGCGGACGGCTCAAGGAAAAGCCGCCATCGGTGCTGCGATCCAACCAGAAGTCCACTCAGACTGCTTCTTGAAGAAGTAATTAGGTGAGTCCCTGGCTGGGGCAGAGCGACCATGCAAATTCACGATGGAAGAACCAGCCATTTAAATAGACAATAAAGGATGCCACTGGTTCTTAGACACTAAAATTTCTATATATTTACCTTTCTTGTCAAGACAGGCTTCCTCTAGTTACAACTTGTAATTTCCTTTTTGTGGAACTATTGTCATTTCTGAAGCTCTGTGACTTTAAGATGGTGAGGAGGGGAAGAGTTGGTTTTTCTGAGCCAAACTAAAGAAGCTGGAAACCACTGTGGAAACTACCTTTGAAACTTAAGAATATAGATTTTTAGAAGCCCATCCCAGATACTGACTTCTAAAGAATTTCAGCTG